TCATATTTTTATTTTATCCTTTAATTCTCTCTTTTAAAAAGAGAGTTTTTAAACTAAAAAAAGTTTAAAAGTGTGTTTCTTTTCTCTAGAAATCTCGTGTGCACATGCCTGCTAAGAAGTCACTTAATGTATGGCAAAAAAATCATATTTCCGTTTAAATACTGTATGCGTTAATATAAATCTAGATTTGTATTTCGCACATCTCTGTCTACCTAAAGGCTTTTGTGGAGTAATTGCTCAGAGGTGGGCATGTTTGAAAAAAGTGTATTTTTATTTAGAATTTTGTAATATACTTTTCATTTAATGTTTACATGTATGTTGTGATTATAGCATGATTGTAGGTTTTATTACAGATTCACCTTTCAGCTTTGTTTCGAAGAAGTGTCACTAGATGATGCTTTACCAACTGCAGTCTGAAAAATACTGAGGTTAAAGATGAATGAAAACACTCGCTTAAAACACCTTTTTTCCTGGCTGCAGATAGTAGTTTATATCAAAAAAAAATGTCAGTAGATGCTGTGATGTGACCGTAGCTGTAGATGCTTTATTCATCAGTAGAATTAGACAGAATTTTTAACAGAAATATAAAATGATGTTGTTTTGCAGATGCTTATAAATAGAATATTAGATCAGCAGCCATTTATGAAAAGGCTATTATTTTATTCAGGGAACTCTCCTCATGATTTATAGTAGCAGAGAGAGATAGAATGACAACAATTAATTTTATTGTGTATTCTTGCCTTTGTTAGAGCCTAAACAATCTTTATTTTTTAGAGTTGTGAAAGCGTTTGCTTGGTGGCCAGTGTGTGATGGAAGCGAGGTCTTGGTTCAGACCTCTGTCTTAGGAACATCTGTACAGCACTGCACAATTGAACCTTATTCTTCCGATGTGTTGCTCCCAAATTGGTGATTTGTCAGTTTGACATTGATTTAGCATCATGTAATATCAAGTAACTAAAATAACAGTGCCTTGTATTATTTTAACAAAAAAGACTAAAAATATAATTAGAATTTTAATGTCAAAGTCCTCGCAAGTATTTCATTCTAAAGAATATCCCATACCCACTGATGTCAGTCGTGATCTGCTGCTGATGTGGTGGAACAGGAGCTGTGGAAGTGACTTATTCCAGTGTTGGCTCTCTGTGTCATTTCTAGGCATACTGGTGATGGAAGTGATGGAAGTGTAGTAATGATCTTATTAGATCGTAATCAAATTTGGTCATAACACTCCTAGTAAATTAATTCACGTCAAATTTTACTAGATGCTTTTGCCCTAAGAATGTACTACTGACAAATAACTGTGCTGATTTTTTAAAAATCATTATTACTGTTTTTTAGTTTGGTATTTGAATAGCGTTCAAACATTCCTCATCATAGCAATTAATGACTAATATTTTTAGTATGGATGTTCCGTTGTGGCTGATTGTGCAGATAGTGAGACACCAGCATTTTGTGTACAGCTACTAGAAAAAATCAGAGTATTTCTTTACAGCTTGATAGGTACAAATACTCCACATTTTGTATTTCTCTTTCGAAGAGTACGGTAACAACAGCTGTTGTAAAGAATTTCCAACAGCTCATCTGTCAGGTGTGGTTTGTTTTGTTGGTTTTGGGGGGGAATTTTTTCCATGAGCATCGCTAGATTTTGTGTTGGAGGGAGTTTTTGTTAAGCATTGCATAGAGTTTTTCAGCCCTTTTCTCCTGTCTTCTGCCTAGCGTCAAATCCCTGCAAACTCGTATGGGTTTTGCCTCTTTCTGTAACGTGCTGTCACGTGAATTTTCAGAAAGCACTTGGGAGGCTTCACTTGTGGTACGAAGCAGTCGCAGAAGTTTTTACTAGGCTGTTGCCTAGCATGTTTCTTTTGATTTCCACTCTAGGCTCATCCATATGTTTCTTCAGCTTTTTTTTATTTACATATCTGGTGTTACCTTTGAACATATCCCACACTTCCTGCTCCCTTTCCTCAGGGAGATTTAGATTGCGTATTAGGAAAAATTTCTTCATTGAGAAGGCTGTCAGGCATTGGAACAGGCTGCCCAGGGCAGTGGTGGAGTCACCATCCCTGGAGGTGTTTCACAGACGGGTAGATGTGGTGCTGAGGGACGTGGTTCAGTGGTGGACTTGGCAGTGCTGGGTTGATGGTTGGACTCAATCTTCAAGGTCTCTTCTGACCTAAATGATTCTGTGGTTCTATACTGCATCTCTGACACCTGTTCTTCATCAGTAAGTGTAACATGATGGCAATTGAACCCTTGATATTCTGTCAAAATAATTTTGATTCTTTTTTTCTTGTTTTTTTCATGTCCTCATCTTTGTTCTTTTTTTTCCAGACTATGTTGAACTTCTTCCTTTCTTCGTAATAGTGTTGTGATGTCTCTTGTGTTTCCTGTTATGTGTGATGACACTTTCCTTTGCTGTCCGTAAAGTTCAGCCAATATTCTTAGAACTGAAGTTAGCTTAAGAGTCGTTATAAAGTAAACATTTGGATAGTAGTATATGAAGTAAAAAATGTATCAAATTTGCAGCAACTTCTGTTGATGCACAAACAGGGATGAAATTCGACTCAGCCTTTTACTTGTGAAGCTCTTGAGATTGTAGGACCTTAAGACAAGTGATAGCTGTGCTCTGTGCACTACCACACAGTTGCACAATGTTTCTACTCTGCAAAGCATACTTACTAGGTAATCAGATGTGTTTTTCGTTAAAATAGGGTGGCACGTACGTTTGAAAAATTGGAATTGTAGAACTACAGGAAACAAGATTCTCAGACATTAGTATTAACGTCCTTCTCGTTTAGTTTGGCAGACGATACCTGTCTACCAGTAGACTCATTTATGTTGGAAGTAAGTTCTTCGTTAGTATGTGTGAGAAAATTATTATGCTTGAGTTTGCAGGTAACTGACTTATGAAACATTGTCTATCTAATTAATTTATTCTTTCAGATCCTCCGACCACCGGTGTAAGCAAACCCCAGGTGTCAGAGAGTGTTCATACCAATGCCTATGACATTAGGACAGAACCAGAACAAGGGAACCTCTACTCACCAGAGCAGACATCTCTTCATGAAAGTGAGGGTCTGTTGTGTGCATTTTAAATATTAGAATATATTTCTGTGTTGACTGTGTAACAATTACGAATGCAACAAATAACAAAGTTATGATTTTTTTTGTGAAGTTGTTCAGTGCTTTTGTTCTTATGCTGGCTTCATTTCTACAGGGTCTGTAGGTAACTCAAGAAGTTCAACGCAAATGAATTCTTACTCTGATAGTGGCTACCAGGAGGTCAGCAGTTTCCATAACAGCCAAAACTTGAGCAAACCGGAAAACAGACAGCAGCATTCCCTCGTTGGAACCACTGATAACCATTTGGCGAGAAGCTCGCGAGCTGAAGGGCAGACCTCAGTCCAGGTATGCTCGGAATAGTACACTTCCCTCTGTCTGTGCGGTGCCTGCAGCACAGTTTGAAAGACAATAATCGTACAGCTGGACCTGCCTTCGTATAGGCTGGAATTAACGTTCCCAAGTGACACTTTTATGTAACACCTTCACTGCTGCGACTTGCAGCGGGCATGGGCTGTCTGCTGAAATCAGCACACCTGTACGTCTGGTTTATTCAGTGCAGCTGAAATGAAGTAGAACTCCTGAGGACTCTCCACTGCTAATATAATATCAAGAAAGTATCACTTGCTTAAATTTCAGTTGTAATATTGGGGAAAACCTCCTAAAATTTAGGCTGTATGTAAACACAGTGCTTAAAGGAAGGGTGGTATTTATGTTCCTGTACCTTCTACTGTTTCTGGCTTTTTCTCTCCTCCTTTTTCATTAATTAGAATGAGAGTAAGACAGTAATTGACAAAACTTTATTAGCTTATACTAGAGCTCTTTGCTTGACTGTTCCTGAATTTCCAAAGTGGTAGAGTAGCGAGGAAAGAAAGCAAAGGTGCATATTAACATAGAAAGACAAATAGCAATGAGGAACGGATGGCTTTTTAAGGTTAAATTGCCATTTTACATATTAAGAAGTACTGATTAGAAAAAAGTTATTTTGTAGGAAAACTTGAAGGAATTACTTTTAGGGTAAATGCTACTCTTCAGCTGTTTTTATGTATTGTTAAATTGTGTGCGTTTTTATTGACTTCTCTGTCTTATGGGAGAAAAGTATCACCACGTGTCCTAATGATAAAACTAACAAACAGTTTTGTTTTTTAAACAGCCTTCAGTAAATATTTCTACCAACCGAGTCATGAGACGAGTCAGTTCAGTCCCATCCAGAGCACAGTCTCCCTCTTACATGGTCAGCACAGGCGTTTCCCCGTCAAGGGGCTCGCTGCGAACGTCCCTGGGTAGCGGGTACGGTTCTCCGTCGGTGACCGAGCACAGATCCCTCACTTCCCACGCGTATTCATCCACTACTCTGCCGGTGCAGCGTGCAGCATCCCCGTACGCTGCCCAGAGACCAGCCTCCCCAACGGCTGTGCGGCGCATCGCCTCCGTTACGTCCCGACAGACGGCCAACCCCAACGGCGGGACCTCCCAGTACCAGACATCGGTCAGAGTTGGCTCTCCTCTGGCCCTTACTGACGTACAAACCAGAGTAGCTTCTCCATCTCAGACTCAGCTGGGGTCTTCTTCCCCGAAGCGTTCTGGCATGGCTGCGGTTCCACAGCATTTGGGAACAACGCTGCAGAGAACAAGCCATGATGTCGAACAGTATGGGCAGCAGTATGACATATATGAGAGAATGGTCCCTCCACGTCCGGATAGCCTTACAGGTTAGTAAAAAGGTAAAGACGCAGCTTAAAACGTGGTACAAACCTACAGCTGTAGAAAACCTGTTCTGTAGTCGTCGTCTGAGGGACGGAACGTTGTCATTGTGGTGGATGTATGAAATCAGCTGTAAATACTGATGCCAAACACCATGTATCGAATCATACCATAAGATCCCTGTGAATACTGTCTTTCTCTTGAATGTATGGCTAGCAATCTAGTAATTAAGTTAAATCATATGTTTTAAGTAGCTAAGTGAAATTCTGAGTCTTCCAAACAGAGACATTTCAGTATCTTTGAAGATTAAGTACATTTAAATGTATGTGCAGGTTGTACGCAAAGGAAAAGATGCCAGACTGAAACTAGTCATGCCTCTAGTGCGTTCTTAAAATGACATAACTTAGTACCACCACTGAATGTTAGGCTTTTTTTCCCTAATATTTCTAGACTCAAGAAATATATTAAATACACAACCCTATTAAATATAGGATAATCATTGTAATATTAGCTTAAAATAAAGCCCTAAAAGGTAGAATCTGTTCATCTGAGAGGCAGTTCTTATTAAGATGCAGTTATTTAACATTTTAACTTCTGTGCCTGTTACTTATTACTCAGATGCAGACACTGTGAGAGAGCAGGTCTGTGTTTTTTTTGGGGGAAAAATACACAAATGTAGGATACATTTGATTACATATCACTCCCTAATTGTATTTTGAAGTTGTTCTATAATCTCCATTGTTTCTTTACCGTTGCGTAGTTCATTAGCACATTCTGTTGCTTTGGTACCTGCTAAAGCTTTAGTGCCTACAATGGTAAAGCCAAAGCAGACAAAACTATTAATTTTATAGATTTATTTTTTAAAATATCTTGTAAAACCAAAAATAGGGGAACTAGGATACTTTAAATGAAAACATTAAAAATAGATGAAAAAGTCGGTGGAGGGTAGCTAGTTAGTACGACACCAGTGCCAGAAAGCAAAGCGTATACAAAGCATGCATTAGATGGTCAATGGGCAGGGTCAGAAAATGTTGCAGGGCTGAAAAAGAAGAAACACAGGATTAAGACTGTGCCACCAACCTCCTAATCAGGATGGCAACAGTCAGCTTAATGGGAGATCAGTAACCAATTCAGTTAGCAAACCAGTAAGGGGAGAGACACATCCCTGCTGGTTGCAGAGATACAGTGACACACTGGAATGCACAGAAGGGCGTTGCAGGCGACATGAATGAAGTTTTCATGGAGCAGATAGAGGGGCAACCTTCACATGGAGAAGGAAGTCTGAACCCTCATCCCTGGAAGTGTTCAAGGCCAGGTTGGATGGGGCTTTGGGCAACCTGGTGTAGTGGAGGGTGTCCCTGCCCATGGTAGGGGGCTTGGAACTGGGTGGTCTTTGAGGTCCCTTCCAGCCCAACCATTCTGTGATTCTATTCAAAATGCTGTTATTGAAAAGCTGTTTTGCACCTCTGCCAATTATGTACTTGGATGTGGCACCGCAGAAGTGGTAGCAGGAGGTCCACTGCAGAAGAATTTAAGTCAAAGGAGAAAGAAAGAAGTTAAAAGGAACTCAGGAGGGACAGCTGAAAGGCAAGGGGAGAGAAGAGATTCTCATACAGCTGCAGCATAGCAATATGTGTCTATACACATCATGGGCTTTTTAAACCCTTGTAAAGACTTTTCCTCACGTGCATAAAGTGCTGCCACCACCAAAAAGACTTTTACTGTTACGCGCTGTTTCATTTTCAGGATCGTGAAACAACTGGTTTTCTGTCAGGTTCACAACTTAACCTTGTCACTGCTGAATCTGTGAACTGCACCTGCTGGCTTAGCTTTTACTCTGTATGTTTTAGACCTTCAACTATAAATGCCACCAAAAAAATCGAGTTGCAAAACTTAGTTGTCTGTGTTCGGACAAAACTTTTCAACAGAGAATTGCTTCTTTGTCAATGGATCTTGCAGCATGGATCATTTAATAATGGAAAAAAGTTTAACGAATAAATCTTTAGAACTGTAGATATAACTAACACCTTTTCTTGGCTAGAAGAATAAAGATTCAGACAGCTTTATTATTTTTAATTGATATAGGCCACATGCTGATTTCCTTCTTCTTGGTTTTAGGCCTGAGGAGTTCATATGCCAGTCAACACAGTCAACTAGGGCAGGAATTACGATCAGCTGTGTCTCCTGACTTGCACATCACCCCTATCTATGAAGGCAGAACTTACTACAGCCCTGTGTACCGTAGCCCGAATCATGGAACGGTTGAGCTCCACCAGGGATCCCAGTCAGCACTGTATCGAACTGGGTCAGGTGGGTAAAGGCCTTCCAAAGCTCTTCTGTTGGCTGTGTCCCAAAGTCATGCTTTACTTGCTGGAGTTTTTCTGGACCTTATGGCATATTGGAGAACATATGTGAGATATGTAATGCCAGTTTGAAAGGAGAAACTAGATGTTTACACGTTAATGGAGACAGAAACTAGGTTTGAAGAACTTAAAATAACCAGCGAGAATTACAAAACTTTTGTGGTGTTTGCAAGAAATACTTGGGGCTGTGTATCAGTGTCAGCTTAGGGTCAGAACATTTTCTGTTTGATATCACACCCTCAGGTACATCCAAAGTATATTTCATGACACAAAAACTTTATTGCTTCCTCTGCATTCTCTGTGCATCGTTTTCTTATGAATTGAGTTTGTTCAGGTGTTTTTTTTATTCATCAGCACAGTAAAAGGATAGTTTGCGCATCTAAGTTACCTACTGCCTCTTTCACAGCAAAAATACTGGGTTTACCCAACCTCTCAGCAAAGAATAATGTTGAAGTTATGTATCTGAAGATCGTATGTTGCAGCTGAAATATTTCTGTAGTATTTCATTGACTTGCTGCTCGTATGTTACGAAGTGCATAGGCATTAGATGAGCATTAGAACTGATTCTCTGTGAAGAGAAATGTAATGCATGTTGCAGAGCAGTTTGTTCTTTAAGGTTGATGAATAATTTGTGTAGTTGGAGTAATTTCCAAAAACTCTCAGAATATTAGAGTGATTTAACTAAGTAACTCTCTAGAAATATTTAGAGAGAAGTGCCCAATTCATATGTCATGTTTTCACACATTTGGAAGTTACTTCTGAATGGTTTTTCATGTAACTGAAATACTGAGAGTGTGGAACGTGGAAGGAGGCAACAGTTTTTGCAGGTCTCCTGTCTTCTGTAACCTACAGTAAACAAATTAAGTTTGTCAGCATGCACCAACGAGGAGACATAACTAGAAATCTGAATTCTCTGTTTGCTTCTCTACCTAATACCACTTGCATTGGAAGAACAACAGCTACCATCAGCAGCTCTGATAAGTCAGGAAGATAAATGTTCCTGGTTTTGAAACGATGAGCTTAATCTTTGAAATAATCCTCTTGTTAGCTTTTTGTCAGGGAAAAAGTACATGTAGTTGGGAAAAGGAAATACCATATAAATTATATAAATTTTTGTTTACTTATTCTTCCTTTTTCTTCTTAGTACCGTTGGCAAACTGACGTTACTGTTAGGAACTGAATGTTATTGCAAACCTTGAAAACGCTTTGCATCCCGATTTCTGCTTGATGGCACGAGATGCGTTTCTCTAAACGCTTGTTGAGGCAAGCTGAGGCATAAGCCTGATCCCAGCAAGGCTTTAGTTCTGTAACTAACCTCTCCATCTGCCCTGGGACGTGAAGTAGGTGCTCCCGTAAACCTGGCGATAGCTTCAGCCCTGCACGGTACACGTTTTTAGGACGTTTTTTGGTTTTGCTTACGCTTTTGACAGCATACTGCCTCTTCAGTAGGCATTTGTTACCTGGTTTGTTTTAATACCGATTTTATCCCAGGAGTCGGAAACCTGCAGCGGTCATCCAGCCAGCGGAGCACGCTCACGTACCAAAGGAACAATTACGCTCTGAGCACGGCAGCCGCCTACGCGGAGCCCTACCGGCCGGTGCCGTACCGGCTGTCGGAGCCCGGCTACAGCAGGCTGCAGCACGCCGCGCCGGCCGACGACGGCACCACGCGGTCCCCGTCCATAGACAGCATTCAGAAGGACCCCAGGCAAGTCCGACTGTGCTTTCCGGAATCACGGGTGTTTGCTGGAACAAGATCTCGAATGCCTTCCTTGAATGTGTGCCACGTCGTGCATATTGCAGTTTCACTGTCTGGACAATCGTGACTGCTTTAGATATTGAGATCTGCACCTTTGTTGCCAAATAATAATTGCAAAACAAATGCAAAAAAACCCACAATCTACTCGTTACAGTAAGAAAGAGAAACTTTTATGCATTTAGTTATTATTACATTTTTCTTCCGTGTGTATCTTCATGTAGAAGTTATTACAGGAAATACTTACAAATTTGAGAATTGACTGAATTATTCCAAATATTTTTAGTAACTCCACAGAGCAATCTGTAATATTGTAATAAGTTTTCTCATTATGGGAGTGGGAATCAGGCTTTGAAAATTAGAAAGTACATACCTAATTTTTTTGAGTCAATTTTTCACGAGCAGCTTGCTTAAATTTCAGAACATTGTAAGTTTAAAAATGATATATAAATGTACCATTTTGAAAGTGAATAGACATTCATATTTTTAAAACAGTTACTAGTTTGATGTTAGAAATGCATGTACACGGTGTGGGCCTGTGACCAGTGTAGTAATTACAATTTATCAGAGGCACTATTGATTAAAACCTTGTATTTTAAAATGGGAGTATCAAAACCCAGTCCATGCAAAGCTTGGAGGGATTTGTGGTACTGCCAATCTTCAGGATGGGTATGTGGTTGCTAGAAGTTCCAGTCCGCCCTCCGATGGCCAGTTCATCGAGGTGGCTTCTAGGCGCTCCTGGGTCGTGGAAGCGCAGCACGCGTTCTGCTGGTTTAGAAAGCACTGAAAGCAGAGCAGCTGTGCTGGAGGATATGGACCCCAGTGCTGCCTCAGGAGTCTTTCATGTGGAACCACTAGGGCACAAATAAACTTTGGGAAAAGATAATAGCCACTAGCTCTGGTCAGGCTGAGGCTGACACTGAAATCTCGTGGGCGTCCTGTGCAGCAGAAGGCTCAGAGCACAATTCATTTGTTTTCTGGTTTGGCCCTATGCTTCAGTCTTGGAAAGAAGAGCTCTGGTTTTAGTAGACTTTGGTGTTCTGTTTATTAGTGGAAATTAGTATTTTTCTTTTTGAATAGGTATCGAGAGACTGCCTTAGTTTCATTTAGCTGAATGGTACCTTACTGGAGATGGCGTTAAAAGGACAATCTTTCCTGTAGGCAGAAACGCGTGCCAGCGGCGTGCCGCTGCTGGCCCGTTCTGGCCCGGCTCGCAGGAACCATTGCTCACAATGGGGCTGCCTCACGGTCGTAACAAGGAACTGCAGAGACATTCCAACTCGGTTTTCATTGCTGAGGCACCTCCTTATCCTGTAGTTTCACAGAGGAAGAGTTTTTACCGTGCACTTTAATCCCTTCCGGTTTGACTTGCGTATCGCACGTTGCAATAGCCTCAGGCCGGGCTGGGCGAAAGCATCACTCGAGGGAGCGTTTGGAAAGCTGCTAGTTTTATTGGAAAGGCAGTTTTCCCTAAGGTCTTCCTGTCCTTAGTGTGGAGACATAAATCTCAGAGTTGTGGAGCAGTTCAAAGCAGGCACATAACTGAACTTCCCCCGTTCGGTGACCGTAGGAATCCTGGGCAGACTCGACTGGCCGGCCTGGCGTTAGCCTTTGGATAGCAACTCGAGTACCCGTATTGGAACAGCTTTCCTTTTTTAAAAAAAATTACTTGAATTTTTAAGCATGGGAAGACTTAGATACTACTTTTTGCTTTTCCTCAATGTTCCCTTACAGAGGAAGATAGCCCAGCAAATATTAATGAGTGCCTTTCCAAATCTGTGAATCGGGCATGGATGTGTTTAATGACTTTTCCAGGACTCGCCTGTGCAAAATCATTGTGTTTAATGAAGGAGATTTGACTTTAATGATTTTAAGTTTACAGTCCATGAATAAGACAAATTATGGGAACTTCCTGCATCTGATCATGATGGTGACATTTCAGGCTGTGCAGCTTTTGTGGAAGTAGAATTGAGTTCAGAGTAGGAAGAATGTTGAGCGCTGAGAAGAAAGTTTGTGTGGAGGAGGTGCCTCTGAGCAGCATTGTTACTGTGGGTATCTGCTGCGTTACATATGTAAGTTTGGGGAGATTTACGTAGGTTGCAGTGTTTGAGTTGGTAAAATTTTGGTATATATGTATATTTGTGTGATCAACAACCAAGCTAACTGGAGAACATAGGATATCAAGTGTCTTTTTCTGACTGGAAGACTAAAAGATGATGTGACTCATAGTTATTCTAATCTTTTTTAGAATAAACCTCTTTATTCTGCTAGCCATTATACTCTAGAGCAAAACCACAATTGTTTAACAGCACTTAAGATGCTCTAGTAACTCCTCAGTAACTAAACGTGCGTTTGTAACTAATGCACTCGCGTCCTCTCGTGCAGGGAGTTTGCTTGGCGAGACCCGGAGCTGCCTGAAGTCATTCACATGCTGCAGCACCAGTTCCCGTCGGTGCAGGCGAACGCAGCCGCCTACCTCCAGCACCTGTGCTTCGGAGACAACAAAGTGAAAATGGAGGTACTGTGCCGGCTGCACTTCCCTCCCCGGGGAAGCCAGGAAAGGAAAACCAGACCTTTCACCTCTTTGGGGCGTTTTCCATCATAACCTTTTTCAAGGCCAGGCTGGATGGGGCTTTGAGCAACCTGGGGTATTGGAGGGTGTCCCTGCCCATGGCAGGGGGGCTGGAACTGGATGGTCTTTGAGGTCCCTTCCAGCCCAAAACCGTTCTGTGGTTCTATAACACAGTATTTTGGACCCTTTTGCATCTCTGTTTGTACCAGACGTGTGATAATATCGAAGTACCTGGGTGTGTGTAATCTCGCTCTCTCACTGGAGACTAAGAAAAAGAGGAATTCTGGAAGGCTTTCCACTGGTTTTGATATTTTAAGGTGTCAAGCTGACAAGCAAAGGAAAGCAATACAACCCTAGAAACATGTAGAGGATAGTATTTATGTCAGTATGATGTGGAGGAAGGATACATCTGAGTGAAAATTCAGGTTATTGCTGAAATTTCTATAAACTATTAGTGTTTCAAGAGCTGCTCTTTTTTCAGAGCAGCCATGAGCTGTTGGTCTGAAGTGTGCTTTTTCGTTCGTATCATATATGTGCATTATCTGTAATTTTCAGTATGAATATTACTTATGTTAATAAAATGTTGGTGCAATTTTTATAAGATGATGGCCTAACATAATTCACTGCTACTGGAAGGCAGATGAAAAGGTGGTGGTGGTTTTGATGTTCTGGTAAATATCGCAGTGATAATCAGATGCAGACAGATTTATAAGGTATTCTTGCTATTTTGTAAGGGATATGAGAGCTTGTTTAGGAATTCTTGGAGTGTTATTCGCACATGTTCATCTATTGGAGATCGTTTTTCTTCACTGTTTCCAGTTTCATTATTACAGAATTTTAGAGATTATGGAACGTCTGCTTTAATTTCTTCAAAAGTACACAAAGCCAAAAAAAATACACCAAAGTTTAAGCAGAATTTGAATGTGGCACTAACTTGTGTGTCATGTAAGAGGCGGTGACTCAGTTGTTTACCCTACTTAGCATTGGAAATATCTGATGTGTTTTGAACTGAGTTGAGGTGTAAAGGGTTATAGATGTATTATACCATATATTAGAGCTCAGTAAACCTTATCCAAAGAAAAGGCCTTTTTGATTTGGAAGACAAGGTGAATGACAGTAGTCAGCAACAACTGTAAACATGGCCTGCTTTCCGCTTAGAGTGGGGCGTTTTGGAACAGAAGATTTCTCCTTTTCCAACGGAAGATTTATGTACTGGCACGTTTCTTCTGAATGGGAATAATCAGCTGTTAGAAATTCTCAGAAGCTGTGACAGAAAGAGTGCAATTGTCTGGCTTCTAGGAGAAAAGACTATTCCTGCGCTTCCGGGAAGCGAGCCTTATGTCAGCGTTCCCTGCTCAGGCTTCCAGCCTCCTACGGAGACGCCGTCCCTGGCGCTGGGATGGTGGGCAGGGATCAGCAGGTTTTGGAAACGCGATGGCATCTGTGGCAGGAGGAAAGGTGCAGTTCATGTTCCCTTCAAAGCAGAGGCCAGCGCAAGAAATTATTTGGAACAGGAAAACATCTTAATTATTGTAGTGCCAAATTCAGTAAGGCCTTATTTGAGGACTGCTTTTGCGTTTTCTCTCGTTATTTAAATGTATTATTTTAGTGCTGGGATAAAGACCAGATTAGTTTGCTAGAGCACGAAGGGTGTTAAAAGCCCAGCGGAATGAAGGGGGATGCTTGCATGGCTGACACCTGAGGGCTGGCGTGAGAAACCGCTTATTGTTGGGAGGAATCTTTACTGTTTAAATTAATAATGAATGAATAATATTACAGAATAAACAGAATGAATAAACTACGCTTCCGTGTAACGAATATCTCTGTAAATGCATACAATACTGATACAATGAATAAACTACGCTTCCGTGTAACGAATATCTCTCTGTAAATGCATACAATACTGATACGTTAGTTCACGAATTCTGATTTTTTTAATTTAGAAATTGAAGTGCCTGTTCAAACCAGCAACAACTGCTACATCTTATAATAATGACTCAGCAAAATACAAATCTTAAGAATGGTCTTCTAGTCCATTCTTATTTTGAATTATATACACAAAAACTGTATCTCATCAAGTTTTGAGTACGGATTGAAAAAAGGATAAAGCTGTTTTGTCATTCATAACTCGTATCTGTATTATGGACACGTAGTGTAGACGCAGCATTTGAGGGAGATTTAATGGAAAAGTATGAATAGTTATTTGTTGTATCATTATTTAGTAACAGAAATAACAATTATTTGCCTTGAAAGTTAACAACTCTTTACATTTTATGGTTTTTAATAGCATCAGGGAGGTAGATTCAGGTTGGATATTAGGAAAAAATTTTTTACCATGAGAGTTGTAGAACACTGGAACAGGTTGCCCAGAGAGGTGGTGGATGCTCCATCCCCGGAGACGTTCAAGGCCAGGGTGGGCGAGGGCCTGAGCAACCTGATCTAGTTGGAGATATCCCTGTTCCTTGCAGGGGGGTTGGACTAGATGACCTTTGAAGGTCCCTTCCAGCCCTAAGCATTCCATGATTCTATGATCCTGCAGTATATAATTTCAATGCAGAATGTATCAAATAATCAGTAAGGTAATATTAATTTCATAGTTACAGAAATCTTGCCAGTTGAATAGCTTCAGGCCTGAAGTGCACGGAATGCCTTTAGATGCAGGTCGCTGGTGGCTTCTGGCATAGCAGTGGCGTGTGCGATGAACCAGCGCCCAGCTGTGCCCCCTGGGCCTGTACCTGGCACGGGGACGTGTCTCGGTGTGCACGTACAGGGTTCCTTGTCACAAGTACACGTTTCAAACGTAGGTCTAAAAACTTCCGAGTCGCCGGCCTTCCATTTTCTTTCTTTTATTCTAGTTAAGAGTTGATGTGACGGGTGAAA